CGGCAGCCGGGGCTGCGGGGGGCCGGCACCCCGCGGGGCCCCGCCGCCCCCGGAGGAGGGCCGCCAGCTGTTCCCTTCGCAAGGCGGCGGTGACCACATTATTCGCGGCGTCTATTTTTAAAAATGGCTTTCCAGCCGCAGTTGTAGGAAGCTGACAATTCCGAGGGGCAGCTCTTCCAGCGCCTTGGCTTTAAATAGATTTCTTTTTTTTTTTTCCTTCTGGGTTTGATCGCCCTCTGCTCCCCAGGACGCACCCACCCCTGCGATAACTCCTCTCCCACGGAGCGCCCCGGTGATGCCCCGGCTCGGTCCGGGGTCGGGCAGACCGGGCACGGCAAAGCCACGGGATGCGTTGGGGCTCCCGGCTTATTTGGGGGCGGGGAGGGGATCTCGGGGCTTTTTGTATCGGTGCCGTGACATCGCTGTTGTGTTTGCCGGGAGGTCACGGAATCGCAGATGCTATTTGGGTTTGGGTGGTTGTAAAGTCTTCTGATGAGCCCGGGAAGGTCCGCATCCCAACTCGGGAGCTGCCCGGGGGAGAGCGGGATAACTTGGTCTCCTCGGAGCGTGTGCGGTAAACCTGCGGGGGGGGACACGGGGGACACGACGCGAGTCAGAAGGAAGTTTTCCTCCAGGAATAAGGAGGACAAAGAGAAAACCCCGGGGGCTGCGCGTAAACTCCTCTCTGGGCTCTGCCCTGTGGGAATCCCCCTCCCCGCGCACACACACACACACACGCACACGCACACACCTCTGGAGAGACATCAGATAAGAGTAATTCTTTTGTGATGCTATGTTGGATGTGTGCCTATTGCATACAATAAACCGAGCCATATTGTGTGTCTATACTCGCCCGGTTCTGGGAGCCTTGGCATTTCGCAATTCCTGCAGCAAGATGTCCATCTCTAAAAGAAAAGCTCCCCGGGAGAGCCCGGCTCGGTGTGTCCTCCCCCCCCCCGTAATGAGATCTCAGGTGATCAAAGCCGTATCTCTCCTGGGGCACAAAAGAAATTTTTTTTGATGCAGTCTCCTTTAGTCTAGGGCATTTGCTAGACAGTGGAGTCATTGTAAATTCAGGAACTCTGTAACAGCGGAGAGGCGTGCCTCTGTGCGTCAGCACAAGTACTGCATGCACAGCATTAAAAAAATAGGAGCATGCAGGAAAAGGAAAAAAAAAAAAGCTTGTCAGCAGGTGACCTCCGCTCCCCGGGACCTGCTGCTACAAGGAACCGCTGCGTTCATCATCTGCGGGAGCCGCGCAGCCGCCCGCCCTCCCGCCTCTCCCACTCGCCCTCTGCCTGCTCCGGCTCCCGGGCCGCCGGGGCGGGGGCGGCGCCGGGGAGGGCGCGGG